ATTTAGTCCATTTACATTCAGTGTTATTATAGAAAGATATGGGTTTAGAGTCATTGTGATGTCTGTATGTTTTATGCTTGTAGTGATGTCTCTGGTACTTTGTCTCACAGGATCCCCCTTAGGATCTCTTGTAGGGCTGGTTTGGTGGTGACAAATTCCTTCAGTTTTTGTTTGTTTGGGAAAACCTTTATCTCTCCTTCTATTCTAAATGACAGACTTGCTGGATAAAGGATTCTCGGCTGCATATTTTTTCTGTTCATCACATTGAAGATCTCCTGCCATTCCTTTCTGGCCTGCCAAGTTTCAGAAGAGAGATCCGTCACTAGTCTTATAGGTCTCCCTTTATATGTGAGGGCACGTTTACCCCTTGCTGCTTTCAGAATTTTCTCTTTATCCTTGCATTTTGCTAGTTTCACTATGACATGTCGTGCAGAAGATCAATTCAAGTTTCATCTGAAGGGAGTTCTCTGTGCCTCTTGGATTTCAATGCCTTTTTCCTTCCGCAGTTCAGGGAAGTTCTCAGCTATGATTTCTTCAAGTACACCTTCAGCACCTTTCCCCTCTCTTCCTCCTCTGGAATACCAATAATGCGTATATTATTTCTTTTTAGTTCATCGCTTATTTCTCTAGTTTTCCCCTCATACTCCTAGATTTTTTTATCTCTCTTTTTCTCAGCTTCCTCTTTTTCCATAATTTTATCTTCTAGTTCACCTATTCTCTCCTCCGCCTCTTCAATCCGAGCCGTGGTTGTTTCCATTTTATTTTGCATCTCGTTTATAGCGTTTTTCAACTCTTCCTGACTATTCCTTAGTCCTTTGATCTCTGTAGCAATAGATTCTCTGCTGTCCTCTATACTGTTTTCAAGCCCATCGATTAATTTTATGACTATTACTCTAAATGCACTTTCTGTTATATTATTTAAATCCTTTTATTTATTTTTTTTTAATTTTTTTTTTCAACGTTTATTTATTTTTGGGACAGAGAGAGACAGAGCATGAACGGGCGAGGGGCAGAGAGAGGGAGACACAGAATCGGAAACAGGCTCCAGGCTCTGAGCCATCAGCCCAGAGCCCGACGCGGGGCTCGAACTCACGGACCGTGAGATCGTGACCTGGTTGAAGTCGGACGCTTAACCGACTGCGCCACCCAGGCGCCCCTTATTTAAATCCTTTTAGATCAGTTCATTAGCTGTTGTTATTTCCTGGAGATTCTTTTGAGGGGAATTCTTCCGTTTGGTCATTTTGGATAGTCCCTGGAGTGGTGCAGACCTGCAGGGCACTTCCCCTGTGCTCTGGTGTATAGCTGGAGTTGGTGGGTGGGGCCGCAGTCAGACCTGATGTCTGCCCCCAGCCCACCGCTGGGGCCACAGTCAGACTGGTGTGTGCCTTCTCTTCCCCTCTCTTAGGGGCAGGATTCACTGTGGGGTAGTGTGGCCAGTCTGGACTACTTGCACACTGCCAGGCTTGTTGTGCTGGGGATCTGGTGTATTAGCTGGGGTGGGTAGGCAAGGTGCACAGGGGCAGGAGGGGCAGGCTTAGCTTGCTTCTCCTTAGGTGATCCACTTCAGGAGGGGCCCTGTGGCAGCGGGAGGGAGTCAGACCCACTGGAGAGGTGGCTCCACAGAAGCACAGCGTTGGGTGTTTTTGGGGAGCAAGCAAGTTCCCTGGCAAGAACTGGTTCCCTATGGGATTTTGGCTGGGGGATGGGCGAGGGAGATGGCGCTGGCGAGCGTCTTTGTTTCTTGCCAAGCTGCGCTCTTTCGTCTGGGGCTCAACAACTCTCCCTCCCGTTGTCCTCCAGCCCTCCCGCTCTCCAAGCAGAGCTGTTAACTTATGACCTCTGAGATGCTAAGTTCCACTTGCTGTCGGAACACACTCCGTCTGCCCCCTCCACTTTTGCAAGCCAGACTCGGGGGCTCTGCTTGGTCGGCGGGCCGCCCCTCCACCCCAGCTCCCTCCCGCCAGTACGTGTAGTGCACACTGCCTCTCCGCCCTTCCTACCCTCTTCTGTGGGCCTCTCGTCTGTGCTTGGCTCCCGAGACTCCGTTCTGCTAGTTTTCTGGGTTATTTAGGCAGGTGTAGGTGGAATCTAAGTGATCAGCAGGACGCATGGTGAACCCAGCGTCCTCCTACGCCATCTTCCTTCTAATCTCTCACCCATTTTTAATCAGGTTGTGTGTGTGTGTGTGTGTGTGTGTGTATATGTCTTATTGTTGAGTTTTAAGAGTGTTTTTGTATATTTTGGATAACAGTCCTTTATCAGATATGCTTTTTGCAAATATTTTCTCTCGGTTTATGGCTTACCTTCTTATGCTCTTAACATATCTTTCACAGAGCAGAACTTTAAAAAATTTTTTAGATTAATTCTCCCTTTTTTATCATTACAGTTAGCTAAAAAATTGCCAGGCAGCCCACAAAACAGGATTTGCTTTAAGATCAACCTACAGAGTCAGTTGGAGACTGATGGCACTGGGACCTGCTGGGCTGGGCCATAGTAGTGTTTAGCTAAGTGTCAAGAGCATTAAGAAGAAAGTCTGGGTTTGAGGCACCAGGCCTGCAGCACAGCTGTGGAACCTCCATGATGTGACTGCACAGCTCTATCCTCAGACATTTGTTGGGTGATCACCACTGAGGGGGAACCTAGCTATAAGTGGGGCCCCTGGGGCCAGATACGTGGGCACAGTGCATGGGGACAACAGGAGTTGAGGTGTGGGAGGTCAGGAGGGTACCTGCTGACATGGCCACAGTGGTCCCAGCCACCATACCCATGGTGACACCATTGCCTCTAAGTAGAGGGATGGGATCGGGGTAAATCGCCACCAGCATGCAGTTGGGCTGCACAACTGTGGTGTGGTGGATGATGTGAGGGGGCACTGCCTACTGGGGCTGTGTGTGCATAGGGGCTCTCTTGGGGGTAGGCATTTTGGTAGGGGAAGAGGAATATGGTGGCACTGCCCCATTGGTGGGGGGACAGGATACTGTGTAAGGTGTGACAGGATTGTAACCTTTTTGGAAGGTAGGATTTGCTCCAGGGTACATGTTGGTGGAATAGGCAGGACCTATGGCTGCATAGCCCACAGGGAAACCAGCTGAATAACCAATTTCTTTGGCATTTGCAGAGGGGAACCCCAACAAAACCAGGGCTATAAACAGGATTCATGATTTCAAGAAGGCATTGTGGCAGTGGCAGCCTGGGCCAAAGTGCCCAGCTCATGCCAGCCAGGGGCGGTCTCCGCAGTTGGGTTCAGCAAGGATGCAGGGGCTGAGCCTTGAGGCTGGGTCTCTGATGCCACCACTGCCCTGGCTGGCACTTCCAATTGTTCTGCTTTACCCAGCCCACCTCTCCACAACATGTGCTACCCACAGACGTTCCAGAAAATTTTAATTTTAATGAAGTCCAGTATATCACTTCTTTTTTTATTGTTTGTACTTTGCAGTTGTATCTAAAAAGTAATCACCAAACACAAGGTCTAGGTTTTCTCCTATATTATATTTAGGAGGTCTGTTATATATTTTGAATTCGTTTTCTTAAGAGATGCAAAGTCTGTGTATGGTTTCATTTGTTTTCATATGGATATGCAGGTGTTAAGCAGCACCATTGAGTTAAAAGACTATCTTTGTTCCATCGTATTGCCTTTACTTCTTTGTCAAAGAGCAGTAATATTGTTTATGTTGGTGTATTCCTGGGATCTCTGTTTCATTCCATTGATCTATTTTCTGTTCTTATGCAATATTACATTGTTTTGATTATTGATATTTTATTAGTTTCAGAATTAGGTCTTTGACTTTATTTTTTCCCTCAATGTTGTGTTGGCTATTCTGGGTCTTTGCCTTTCCAAATAGACTTTGGAATCACTTTCTCAGTATCCATAAAATAACTTGCTGGGATCTTGACTGGAATTGCATTGAGTCTATAGATCAAGTTGGGAAGAACTGGCATCTTGACAATATTGAGTCCTCCTATCCGTGAACATGGTATATAATTCCATTATATTATATAATATAATTCTTCTGATTTCTGTCATCAAAATTTATAGTTTTTCTCATATAGATCTTGTATGTATTTGTTTAGATTTATACCTAAGTATTTCATTTTCATGGGTGCTAATGTAAACAATATTGTGCTTTTAACTTTAAATTTCCCCTTTTCATTGCTTTTTCAGTGAAGCTGCAAGCAGGTCAGATAATAAAAATGCTTTTGGTATGGAACTTTTTGAGGCGCTCCAGCCCCAGTCTGCCCCTTCTTCTCATTGCTAGGCTTATGGTTTCCACAGTTTCCATGTTTGCAAGTTTTGTTTCCAAGTCTACTACAGAGCTGAGAAGAAGGAAATGGGAATAGGCCAAGTTGAAAAGTCTCAAATCCTATTCTCCTTAGGTTCTGCAGTGTTTGTTGAATAAATATGCCTAAGATTTTTGTATACTTTTGGTTAATTTTCAGAGTTCTGAAAAAAACAATTTTCACTTTTTTTTGCCAGCATTTTAATTGCTTTTATGGAAGAGTAGATTTATAGAGACTCTCACTCCACCATTCCAATTGTATTCTCACCTTCATATAGCTTTTCATAATATTTTGTACACCTTAAGGAATTTTTCTTATTCTTCTTTGAATTATGATTTTATGGATACTTGTCTTCCACTAGAATTTAGGTTTATTGGGGATAGTAACTTTATCTAGCATGTACAATGCCTTGCACATAGAAGGTTTTCAGTAAATATGGATTGAGCAAATATCCCTGTATTTTTTAGATGTATCAGGACTCTTGGCTTTTTATGGTCAGATAAAGCAAAATGTCTCCAAATGGCAAGGTGATCTAACATCCTTTGTGTCCAGAGTTGCCTCCATAATTCCCTGGGGACAGCATAGGTTCAGCCCTAGTTCCACTCTGTCTTTAGGTTAGGGATTATTATCCAATGATTAAATTAATTCATTCAACTCATATATAGTGTTCACCTGTTATGTGCCAGGTATTGTGCTGGTGCTGTAGATAAGAGAATAAGACTGATAAGAGTCTTTGCCTCCATGGTGCTTATGGTTTAGAGAAGAGACAGACCAAAACAAAATGAAATCCAAAAACATTAAGTACAAATTGTAGTAAGTATTGGTGTTGAGATAGCTGACATGAATATTTACTACATTTACAATAACTTGCATGTTATGTTTTCTTGCAATGTCTTCTTTGCATCTTGGCAGACATCTATCCTTTTGTAAAATAATACTCAGTGTGTTTTTCATATTCGTTGTCTTCCTAGGTTTCTTTTGAACAACAGAAATTCATTTATATATGTACAGAATATTTTAGCCTTACATTTACTTATATAACATATGAAGAATTCAGTGCTTAATTCCCATCTCCTCTTAGCTAGCATCATCTAACACTGAGATGGTCCTTTCCTTTTTTGTTCTCCTAGATACCTTTGGGGAAGACCTGGGTCAGATATGAGCATTAGGAAACTGCTAAATTTCTGGGGAATGAGAAAAGAAATTAAATAAAGGTACAGAGAAATTAGTGGCCATTAGAGTCCAATTAAGGTATTGGCTTGGCTTAAAAATAGGAGAGGAGAGAATGCACTATTGCATATTGGTTTTATCTAGCTGGGTCCCACAGTAGAGGCCAGTAGTTATGAGTGGCCAGTCAGGGGAAGGGAAACTTCTGTGATGCAGTCAGACTGGATTTTAAGTTGTTTTTTTTTTTAATTTTTTTTTCAACGTTTATTTTTGGGACAGAGAGAGACAGAGCATGAACAGGGAAGGGGCAGAGAGAGAGGGAGACACAGAATCAGAAACAGGCTCCAGGCTCTGAGCCATCAGCCCAGAGCCCGATGCGGGGCTTGAACTCACGGACCGCGAGATCGTGACCTGGCTGAAGTCGGACGCCCAACCGACTGCGCCACCCAGGCGCCCCTGGATTTTAAGTTTTAAGAGGAGTTCTCAAAAATAAATAACAAGTTTATTTTTCATTTTTAATTAATGCCTACCATCGAGTGTAAATTTAGCCTGAAAAGCTGAGGTGGAGGGAGTGAAGGCTAGAAGAGGACAAAGTGATGAGTGTTCATGCGTATCTAGGTAGCTAGGGCACAAGGGCATGGGAAATGTCCTTGGTGACCTCACTGATCAAGCTGTTACTTTTCTCTTTGGCCAGTGTTTGTCCAGCATGATGCTGCTCAACTCTACCTCACAGTCTGGAACCTAATTAAGGACCAAATCATAGATGTGGACTTGGTAAGATGTTAGAACTAAAGAACTCAGAAGTTTAAGATGCTGCTCATTTAGCTCATTCAGCTATCACCAATATAATGTATAGAGAGGATTAAAAGAGAAAATCCACATAAATACTTATCACAATTCCGTAATATTATTACTGTTATTATTTTGTACCTTTTTGAAGAGCAAAGAGAATCAGTGGCTGCCATTTCTGGAGCTTCTGTCTGGTGGATATCATTTCTGGAAATTCACCTCACCTGTTTTGTTTATGGCTTTGTACCCTTCTTTCCTCTCACTTCCTCTCTCTTGCAGGTAGAGAGGCTGCAGGCCCTTTATACAATCCGGATGAAGGAGTCCTTGGTTTGCCTTGAATGTACAACGGAAAGGAGCAGAAATAGTAGCATGCTGACCCTCCCCCTTCCTCTTTTTGATATGGACTCAAAGCCCCTGAAAACCCTGGTGAGGAATTCCTCTTGGTGAATTTGCTGTTCCCATAAACCCAGTGCTGCCAGTGTGCTCTTGCTTCTTTAATCCACCTTTGGCTTTTAAAAAATAATTTCTGTTTCCTTTGCACAATTCTAAGTTCCCCTTTGATTTGGTGAAAACCTTTCTTTCCTTTTACTTCCTTTCCTCATGCTGCTACCTTAACAAATGCTCCCTCCTGTTTTTCCTTCACGTCAGTAGGTACTTTTGGAAATCCTGCCACATGCATCACACTGGGCCAGATGGTAAGGGGAACAAGGAGAGAATCAGAAGGAAAGCTTAAATCCTCATCTGTAGGGTGATGTGTTATACTGTATATGGTAAATACCAACTCTGCTTTTTCTTTGTTCCCCTGGGACAGGAGGATGCCCTTCGCTGTTTCTTCCAACCCAGGGAGTTATCAGGCAAAAGCGAATGCTTCTGTGAGAACTGTGGGAAGAAGACTTGTGGGAAGCAGGTACTTGCTCCCTAAAACCAGAAGCTTCCCTACTCTGGGGTTGTCCTTGGTAGATTTCCTAATGAAGGCCTTGAGGGTACCTTGTGATGGTTGAGGGAGGGAATCCATATCAGGCTAGCAGCCTGGGATCTGGGGCTTCTGATTATCAGAGGCCCATCACCGAGAGGAGCAGAGCCTTTTAAAAGATAAGAGGAGAATATCCAAGGGAAGCATGCAGAGTTCCCCCCATAGGGTTAGACTAGCTCTCTAGAGCAGCCTCTGTAGTTTCCCTGAGCTCTGGTACCTGTGGGAGAGCTCAACAGATTCAGCAAATGGGGGCCCTTAATTCTGTATTATATCATTCTTACCTCTCTTTTTGGGAAGAATATATGATCAACTCTGGTATTTCTCTGAATCTACCCATTTCAAGGGCCTTAGGATTTCATTTCCACAGTAATTTTGGTTTTTCAGGTCTTGAAGCTGACCCATTTGCCCCAGACCTTGACAATCCACCTCTTGCGGTTCTCCATCAGGAATTCGCAGACAGAAAAAATCTGCCACTCACTTTATTTCCCCCAGAGTTTGGATTTAAGTCAGGTCCTTCTGATTGAGGAAGATCTCTGCAGTGCTGAGGAACAGGTGAGAAGCTCCTCAGTTCCCTTCCATTCTCCTTCTCTTCAGACCCCTTGTCTGCTTGATTTTGCTTCTCCTCCCCTAAGGTGCTTGAAGTCACCCACTCAACAGAGATGGCACTTTTGGGCATCTCATCTGTGTCATTGTATCATCTCAGAAATCATGGCCTCTGCTGGCCGTGCTTGGGGTACACAAAGGGAGGGAAACTCATCAGCAGCTACTTGGTGTGATTCATAGAAACATATTCATACATTCAAGAAATATTCTTTTTAAAACAGTATTTTAATGATGTGTGTTCCTGAATAACAATGATAGGTTGTTACTACCATACCACTATCAATAACATTTGCTGTTTATGGTTGCTTTTCTTTTAAGAATCCAGAGACTTTATTTCTAAATATTGAGCTTTGGTTTATGTACTTCACAGCACTGAGAGAGGAAAAGAACCCATAACTCTCTTTCCACTTAAATATGGTATGTAATACATATACATAGGTAAACACAACATCTTGGGTTCTAAATATAATATCAACCTAACTTTCTTCCTGAAACAGTTTATGCCTACTTTGAGGATAGTAACAAGAGAGCCAGTTCATTTAGGTCAAATTTAATCAAAGTAAAGTTGAATTCAGTTGTCCTGAGCTGGTAACTTATTGGGAAATTCTGAGGAAAAGATATGACATAAATATCTTTTCTTAGTTTTGAAATGCTACATTTAGTAAATGGCATATATATATATATATATAATTATATATGTATATGTGTGTATATATACATATATACACACATATATATGTGTGTGTGTGTATATATATATATATATAGTCCATAAAGGATATATCCTTTATATATCCTTTTATGGACTGTTTTGTTCATTCTTTGTTTGCTATTCATGTTCTAGAACCCTGGTATTTTAAAAATTGAGGCCTGATAATATAGTAGCTCCTATATAACATGGTTTCTTTGCCTATTTAGTGTATATACATTTTGTAAGATTATTATTTTCTGTCCTTTGAATTTTCCTTATTTCTGTTTGTGTACTATGAAGTATATCTTAATGAAATAATATATTAAAATTTTATTCCATTTAAAAAAACATTGTTATAGAAAATCTTGAATATGTAGCAAAGTAATGGGGAATTATACAATGAATCCCCATGTCTTTCAAGCAGCTTAAAATTTATCAAGATTCATGCCCAATCTTGCTTTACCAACATCCTCATCCTCTTCTTTCTCCAACCCTCTACTGGATTATTTTGAAGCACGCCTCAGACACCATGCCATTTCATTTAAAGTATTTCATTATGTCATTCTAAAGAATAAAAGAAAAGTATTGGATCACAAATGTAGACTTAGGAAACTCAGTGACTCCATAAAATGTAATACCATAGGAATCCCAGAAGAAGAGAAGGAAAAAGGGCAGAAGGTGTAAGGAGCTAGCCAAGGAGCTAGAAAAGAATGCTGGGCTAGGTGTAAGCAGCTCCAGCTTCCACTGGGGGCACTGTGTTGCTCACTGAAGTCTGTCAGTGCTGATAGGCAGGGCGAAAATGGTGTCACCCTGCTCTCTCCTCCCTGGAGCGGGAAGTTCATGCTTGCCACTGTCCAGGAATCCCTCACAGAAGAGCGAACAGTCTCCCCTCTTGTGTCCCTGGTTTCTGTGAAATTCCTGCCTTCACCCTGTGTCTGAGCTGTCTACCTGCCAGGCAGCATAGTTCTGTTTTATTTCAGGCATGTGGCTGTGTTTCAAAACTCCAAATTTTAGGGACCCGGTGTGGTACAGACATGGCACTGATCCTATGGAGGAGGGGCTCACCACACTGCAGCTTGTGCTGGTTTGTCTCAGAAAAGCAGAATCATGCAAAGGCTTGGAATTTATGGTAAAGTGCAGCAAAAAGCCGGCACCAAGGTTTGCTGCCCTCAGCCAGGTGTCTCTGTCACTATGTTAATGAATGGAGCAGCACATTTGGGCCCACCAACTTTTTGTCCCCAGAGATTCCATGCCACCTCTCCCAAATGCACTCCAAGAAGGGGAACTGCTTCTCCCAGTGACCCAGGAGATTCTCAAACCATGCTTTCTGCTCCTGGGCCTCTGGCTTCTTCCCTATAGGAGCACTACTGTGCCCACCAGGTGGAGCCTAGCAGTGGTGCAGACTTCTAAAACTTCAGACTTTGAGCTCCACTCTTTGTAAAAACCTGCAATAATCAGCCACTCTAGTTTCCTAGTCAGTGGTTTTAGTGAAGATGTTTCCCTTGTGCAAACCCTTGTGCACTGCTTTCTCTCTGTTTCTCTCTCTGATCGCTATAAGATCAAGGCTCTCTCCCCTCCATACCACCCGCAGTTGTTTTATCCCTGGAATCACATCTCTGCAGCTCCTACCTTTCATGATGTGGCTTCTTTTTTCCCTCTGGTTCTGCAGGTCATTCTCTCAGCATTCAGATTGACTTATTGGGTGTGTTGGAATGATTTGGTATTTATCTAGCTGTTTTTGAGGGCTGAGGCAAGTATAGGGACCCCCTACTGCTCCGCCACCTTAACTCAAGTGTATCCATTCATCTATTGATGGACACTTGGGCTGCTTCCATATCTTGGCTATTGTAAATAATGCTACAATAAACATAGGGTTCATGTATTCCTTTTAATTAGTGTTTTTGAATTTTTTGGGTAAATACTGAGTAGTATGATTACTAGATCATAGGGTAGTTCCATTTTTTACTTTTTTGGGGGAAACTCCATACTGTTTTCCATAGTGGCTGCAGCAGTTTTCACTCCTGCCAATAGCATATCTCATAATTTCCTATTGTCACTAATGCCCAGTCAATATTTAGGTTTCTGTGACCTATACATTGGTTTGTTTGAACCTAGATCCCAACAAAGTCTACACTTGCATTTGCCTAAGTTTCCATCCTTCCTTCCTCTTCTCTTTCCCTCCTTCCCTCTACTTCTCCCTGCCTTTCTTTCTTTTAGGTTAAGTTTCTTTTTTTTTTTATAATTTTTTTTAATGTTTATTTTTGAGAAAGAGAGTGCTAACAGAGGAGGGGCAGAGAGAGGGAGACACAGAATCCAAAGAAGGCTCAGAGTTCCTAGCTGTCAGCACAGAGCCTGACATGGGGCTCGAACTCATTAACTGCAAGATCATGACCTGAGCCTAAGTCAGACACTTAACCAACTGAACCACCCAGGTGCCCCTAGGTTAAGTTTCTTTTAAATTTCTTCCCCTCTTTTTCTTGTCCTTGAGTTTCATTTTGTTGAAGGTTTTCAAAAAAAAAATATCCAGAATTTGCTGGTTGGTGTTATTTAACATGTTCCTTTATCCTTTGTATTTCTTATAAACAATTAGAGCTATGTATTGCTCTGCATTTTTTTTTTTTACAATTTTTTTTTCAACGTTTATTTATTTTTGGGACAGAGAGAGACAGAGCATGAACGGGGGAGGGGCAGAGAGAGAGGGAGACACAGAATCGGAAACAGGCTCCAGGCTCTGAGCCACCAGCCCAGAGCCCGACGCGGGGCTCGAACTCACGGACCGCGAGATCGTGACCTGGCTGAAGTCGGACGCTTAACAGGCTGCGCCACCCAGGCGCCTCGCGCTGCATTTTTAAAGTCTAGTGTAAATTCCCAAATGAAAATACATAATAATTTGAGTTCTCCCTTTTGGGTGACTTAGCTTCATTTGCACTACCCTCACCCCTGTCTCCCATATTGATAGTTTTTCAAAGTCTCAGATTAGGGATATTATTTGACTGTGTTAAGATAAAAGAATAAGGTATTTATGACTAATGTTGAGATCCTTCTCACAATCAATCCAAACTCCATCTCTCCCACCACTATTCCCATTTCTTTAAAAAAAATTTTTTTTTAATTTTTTTTGTTTTTTTGAGAAAGAGAGAGAGCGCACTTGAGTGGGGGAGGGGCAGAGAGAGAAGGAGACACAGAATCCAAAGCAGGCTCCAGGCTCTGAGCTTTCAGTGCAGAGTCCAACGTGGGGCCCAAACTCATGAGCCATGAGCTCATGACCTGATCTGAAGTCGGCTGCTTAACTGACTGAACTACCCAGGTACCCCTACCACTATTCTCTTTTCACAGAAAATTCTCTCTTATCTTCAGTTTCTAGGATTTGAGAGAGTAGAATGACTTACTGCCAAATCTAATGGATGATTTTTGGTCCTTCCCTTACTTGATCTTTTTGTAATATTCTGTTATTGATCCTACTCTCCTTCAGAATCTACCATAAGCTTTCCTCATATGGCTTCTTTCTCTATTGGTGGATCCTTTCCTGCCCATGATTTTATTAGCATATAGTTTTCCATTATTTGTCCTATCCATTTTTCAAATTTCATCTCATTCATTCTCATGATTTTGGTAATCATCTCAAACTTAAGACTTCCAAATTTGTATCTCCTGTCCAGGTCTTACACTTGAGCTCCAAACCAGTGTATTCACCTCTACTGAATGTTGTCACATAGTCCCCAAATTCATTATCTTTATTCCCAAACAGCTCTGTTCCATACTTAACTTCATAGTACCAATATTTTCTTAATTTCCAAGCCAGAGATGCCTCCTACTTGCCCCTTCCCCAATACCCCAATATCCAGTCCTTGGTTATTTATGCCTAATTTTGTGCAAATATCCCCCCTCAGTCTCACCTTTAGTCTCACTTTCTTAGTGTAGCATAGGGATTAAGAGCTTAGGCTTTGAGGCCAGACAGGTCTGGGTTGGAATTCTGCCTTTTCTAGTTATAAGCTCTGACCTTTGGGTAAATTACTTTACCTCCCTGAGCTTAGATTCCACCTTTGTGAAATAGGATTTATATCACCACCCAGCTTAACATGATTTTTATGAATATTAGATGAAATAACTCATGTAAAGACATAGGTAAATGCATAGCAAATGCCAAAGGTTAGCTAATAATTATGTTAAGAATGACTGGGGCGCCTGGGTGGCACAGTCGGTTAAGCGTCCGACTTCAGCCAGGTCACAATCTCGCGGTCCGTGGGTTCGAGCCCCGCATCGGGCTCTGGGCTGATGGCTCAGAGCCTGGAGCCTATTTCCAATTCTGTGTCTCCCTCTCTCTTTGCCCCTCCCCCATTCATGCTCTGTCTCTCTCTGTCCCAAAAATAAATAAACGTTGAAAATTAAAAAAAAAAAAAAAAGAATGATTATTATCATTTTGGTGACTACTACTGATAGTCACTGTCTAGACTATAGCCATTTTTCTTGCATTGTAGTGGTACCCAAACTGATCTCATTGGCCTCTACCTCACTTGAACTCTCATTCCATTTTTCAAACCACATTATTTCAGTATTTTTCTCAAACACAAATCTGATGACGCTTTTTCTCTGCTTAAACTTATGATGGGTCCCAATAATTCTAATTTTTATTATTAAAAAAATCACTAAATTTTACACCTGAAACTAATATTACCCTGTATGTTAACTAGCTGGAATTTAAATAAAAACTTGAAAAAAATTAGATAAAGTTCTAGTTCCTGACTTGATTTTTGTAGCCTCATCTCTTGTGACTTCCCAGAAACCTCTCTGACTTCCATTTCCTCAGCATGCTCTGTTCTGTTACACTGCAAAGCCTTTGCAATTTCTGGGTCCATTGAGTATACCTCCTTCCTATAACTTGTCTTCTAATCTTATTCATTGTTCAAGATCAATTCAAGAATGTCTTCTTTGGGGAGCTTTTCTTAGATGATTGTTCCTTTTTCTCTTTTGGGGCAAAAGTTGAGTCTTCCCAAATTTACCTGTAAATATACCTAGTATAAAATATGGCATTTTAATTCTGGCTTAATTAATCATGAGATTCTTGAGTTCAAAGACTATTTTCTAGTCCCCTTGAAGTACCAGTGCCTGGCACAGAGTAGGCAGTAAAATATGTTATGAAATAATGTTTCTTTATTCTATGGTTAGAAAAAAGGGATGATAGGTGAATAATTTTGTGCCTTATGTCCCTCCAGCTTGGAAGACAGTATGAGCTCTTTGCTGTGGTTGCCCATGTTGGGGCAGCTGACTTTGGTCATTACTGTGCCTATATCCAGAATTCTGTGGATGGAAAATGGTTCTGCTTCAACGACTCCAATGTTTGTTGGGTGAGGAACATTATCCAAAATGTTGTCCTGGATTAGCCACTTCTAATAAATTATGAACCCAGGACTAGATGGGTCCTTAAGGTCGGGACACATTGTGGGCCTGTTTTCTCTGTGTGTGCAGCCCTTAAACAAGTCCTTTTCTTAAAAAAAACATTTTTTAAATTCAGGTATAGTTAACACAATGTTAGTTTCAGGTGTATAGTATAGTGATTCAATGAGTTTATACATTATACTGTGCTAACCACAAGTATAGCTACCTACCATCTGTCACCATAAAACACTATCAGAGTATCACTGACTATAGTCCTTATGCTGTGCCTTTTATTCCTGTGACTTATTCATTACATAAGTGGAAGCTTGTATCTCCCATTCCTCTTCACCCGTTTTTCCCATCCCCCACCCACTCCCTCTACCAACCATAAGTTCGTCCTCTGTATTTATAGGTCTGATCCTGCTTAAAGTCCTTTCCTGCATCAAGTCCCCATCTGGTGTATAGCCCTATAAGAATCCACTTAGCTCATTGTCTGGTGTTCTAGGCTCAGTGCCCTGCAGCTTCATGCTTGTGGGAAACTTATAGAGAGCCAGAAGAGTTAGATATATGTAAGTTAGAACCAAGCATAGCCAAAAATAGAAGGACCAGTGTACTAAAAGAGGCTTCATATACATGGCATCCTATCACTGGATGATTCAGGTCTTGGGAGGTACCAGGGAGGGGTTTGTCTGGATACATGACAGAGGGTAAATTGTAGCACCCTATACTCTGGATGCTTAACATATGTGAGCTGGATACTTCACTTCATCTGTTTATGTACTTCCAGGTATCCTGGGAAGACATCCAGTGTACTTATGGAAATCATAACTACCGCTGGTAAGAGAAGTGTTTGAGTGATGGAAACCCAGTGAGTTTACACAGGTTTCTTAGTGCTGTATGAAACTCTCATGAATTCAGCTGCCACTTATATTTGGGTAACTCCCCAGTGACTGTTAAGCCTCATCTCTGAATACCCATATTACCATACCATGCTTTTTTCACAATTTAGATTCCAACAATACTAAACTATAAGTAGCTCCCCAAACATCATATCCTCCATGGTTTTACACATGCAGTTCCTGATCTGTCTTTCCCTCTCCTAATTTATTATTAAGGCAAACTCCCACCATGCTTTAATGTCTCTGCTCATGGCTTTTCCTACTCTATAAAGCCTTCACTGATTGACCCCAGCAGATTTGTAGGGACTTCTCATATGCTTGCTCTGCACTTTAAGCATACCTCATTTATAGAAAGGACCTCCCTGTTTTGTAATTGTTTGCATATATAACTTTTTTTTACATTAGACCATGAACTTTTTGCGAGCAAGGATCATTCTTTTTTCTTTGTCCAGTACAGTGGCTTGCATTTAGTAAATAGTGATAAATATATTTTTAAAAAAATCAACAACTACAGAGAGGAAGCTAGAGAGAAAAAAAAAGCTGGATGAAGTTAAAGCAGAGACTTTGTAAGTTTTTTCAGATGAGTTTCTGGGTTGCAGTGACATTGTACACCAAAGGTGATATTTGAAATTATTTCAGCTAAGTAGGACTGATCACTTGAAAAATAATGAATTAGGTGAAATTTGTGTTTTAAATTCTCTTACAATATTCTACTTTTTACCTTTTCTTCTGAACATCCCTCTTAGATACGCACTCTTTGTCACTTTCTGGTCGTCAGTGATTGTCCCATTATTTATATCAGGGTTTGACAAACTTTCTCTGTAAAGGGCCAAAGAGTAAATATTTTAGGCTTTGTGGGCCACACAGTCTCTGTTGCAACCACTCAACTCTGCCCTTGTAGCACAAAAGCAGCCACAGATGACACATGAATGAATGAGTGTGGCTGTGTTCCAATTAAATTTATTTTATTTTTTGTTTCAACGTTTATTTATTTATTTATTTTTTGGGGGACAGAGACAGAGCATGAACGGGGGAGGGGCACAGAGAGAGGGAGACACAAAATCGGAAACAGGCTCCAGGCTCCGAGCCATCAGCCCAGAGCCTGACGCGGGGCTCGAACTCACGGACCGCGAGATCGTGACCTGGCTGAAGTCGGACGCTTAACCAACTGCGCCACCCAGGCGCCCCAGTTAAATTTATTTTAAAAAACAGGGCTATATTTGGCTTGTGGACAGGTAGCTTGTCAACCCATGATACAGATGTTAACTAATAGAAGCTTAATGGCTATTTTCTCAGGTTACCCATTTTCTTCCCCTCTGAGATAATGGATAAATGAAGACTTGATCCAATAACCAGAAACTTTTCTGATGCTTGTCCTATCATGAGTTAAAAACATATCACTTAACTATGAATGTTCCATTTCTGTTATGTTGCATTTTTTTTTTTCTTTCTAGGCGGGAAACTGCATATCTTCTGGTTTACATGAAGATTGAATCCTAATGGATGTACCCTAAACTGTCAGAGACTGACAAAGTTTCATTTTCCTTTTCTATCCCTGGATCTGCTGACTCTCTCAAGAGATTTTGCAGTGAGAAGAAGGATCATTTTCAAATTGTATAGTTAAATTTTATTTATAATCGGGGTTGATTATCAAAATATTTACCAGTAACTCTGCATGGGTCTTGATCAGTCAGAATAGATACTTCCACTGGCTAGAGCCAGGACCTGAGTGCTTCCTGCTGTGGAAGGCATGAATCCCTTAGTTAGGAGAGTAGAGGGGTCGAAGTGTTCCCAGGGGAGGGGAAACCAGGCCAACAATTGTAATGGGAGGCATTCAGGTGGCAAGGGGCAGTGGCAGGGAAGTATTTAAGTATTTTACAGCTAGTTTGACTATACTGGTATGTACTGGCAGAATATTATTTTTGTTTATAATTTAAAACAATTTTAGAACCCATACTACTTTAATAAAAGTGAAGTGTTTTATAATTGTTATTCATTTATTTGACAAATATGTATTGATCACCTACTCTCCGAAAGGTAGTGTGCTAGGCACCATAATGAATAAAGTTCTTTTTCTCCAAAGGAGTTTTCAGTTTAATGGGGGGGGGGGGGGAAGGGGGTAATTAAAATGCATAAGATACTGAGGGTTTGTGCTACAGGAGTTCAAAGTAAAGTGCAGTATTTCTATTTTAGGACCATGTGATAAGCCACAAGGCTGGAAAGGAGGTTAGGATGGAGGACAGTCCATTTACAGGGATAAATATGCACAGTGGCATGGCTGAAAAAGGTGAGGCTCAAAGTTCAAAACCACAAACCTGGTTTTCCTCTACCAAGGAAGCAGTGATGATTGATAAGGATGGATGGTCAGTGGGGCTCAAACTGTAGAAGGTCTTGAACTACTAAGAACTACTGGATCTAATTTAACAGGTAATGAGGAATTGTTGAAGGGGTTCAGAAAGGAAAAGAACTTAGTGGCTTTTTGATACAATAAATCTCCTGGGGGCTGGCAGCATGAATTAGAGACAGAGATGGTAGTATGAAAGGAAAGGTATTCATAGTCACTAGAGCCACTTTGGAGGAAGAATGGATATGGACAGTGAAAGAAAGGGTCCAAGGAGACTTTAATACCAACCTGCAAGGTGAACAGGGTAGATGTTACTATCCCTATTTTTACAGATGAAGCAATTGAGACATTCATATGTTTAATGACTTGCTCAAGATTTTATACTTGATAAGTGGCAGAGCCAAAACTTACAGCATAAAATATGGATAATTTCTTTATTATTTTATTTTTTTGGTAAAAAATTAGCCATGCTAATTAGTGAGTAATTAGTGAGTAATAAATTAGTGAGTAATAAATTCTCACTGTAAATATTCCAACAATATAGAAATACATAGAGTCCCTTCCTTGTAGCTAGCCATTGTTACATAGGTGTATAGCTAGCTTCCTAGCACTGCCATAACAAACTATCACAAAATGGATGACTTAAAATAACAGAAAATTTTCTCTCTCACAGTTTAGGAGGCCAGAAGTTCAAAGTCAAGGTATTGACAAGGTTGGTTCCTTTTGGAGCCTCTGAAGGAGAATCTGTTCCGATGATTCTCTTCTAGTTTCTAGTGGTTACCAGCAGTCCTTGTTGTTCATTGACCTGTAGCTAATGTCACACAGTCTCGTCCTCCATCTTCACATGGCTTTCTTCCCTGTATGTCTTTACATGGCTTTTGTTTAGGTACACCAGTCATTGGATTTAGGGCCCACGCTAATGTACTGTGATCTCATTTTTACTTGGCTAATTATATCTGTGAAGACTCCATTTCTAAATAAGTTCACATTCTAGGGTTCCAGGAAAACATGAATTTTTGTGGGACACTAAATGCAGTAAAAGTGTGTATCTCACTAGGCCATTTTTATGCTTTTGCATTCATATACATCACGTAACTTTTACATAATATCACATATATAATTTTTACATAATAGCACAATAAGTTATTTACTTAACAATGTCTTAGAAAATCTCCTTGGAAAAGTTGTTGCATTTAATTCCATAGACAGATACACTATATTTTTTTGATCCCCATAATGGTGAATGTTTAGGGCATTTCCTTTTCTTCAATATTTAAAAAATGCAGTGAATGACTACCTTTACATGTATTTTTGTGCATGTATAAATATTTTTGTAGGTACTGAGAAGTGAAATTATTAAGCCAAGGGGATGGGTATCTAAAAATTGTCGTAGATACTGCTAAATTGACTCCAATTAACACCAATTACTTGTTTTTAGGCTTCTTTAGCTTCAAGTTTTAATTTACTTATTTAATTTTATTTTTTAATATGAAATTTATTGTCAAATTGTTTTCCATACAACACCCAGTTCTCATCCCAACAGGTGCCCTCCTCAATACCCTCCCTCCCACCCCCCTCAAGTTTAAATTTAAATTCCAGTTAGTTAACATACATTGTAATATTAGTTTCTAGTATAGAATTTAGTGATTCATCACTCATCTACAACTCCCAGTGCTCATCGCAAGTGCCCTCCTTAATACCCAGCACACATGTAACCCAATCCTCATGTCCCTTATCTCCCTTCCAATAACCCTGTTTGTTCTCTATCATTAAGAGTCTGTTTTCTGGTTTGCCACACTTTTTTCTTTTTTTCCTCTATGTTCATCTGTTTTTTTTTTAAAGATGTTTCTTTTTTTTAATGTTTCTTTTTTGTTTTTGAGAGAGAGCACAAGGGGGAGGAGGGGTATAGAGGATCCTAAGAAGGCTACGTGCTGATAGCAGTGAGCCTGTCTTGGGGTTCGAACTCATGAACCATGATGAGATTACCACAGTAGCCAAAGTTAGATGTTCAACTGACAGCCACCCAGGTGCCCCTGTTTTGTTTCTTAAATTCCACATATGAGTGAAATCATATGGTATTTTGTCTTTCTCTGACTTATTTTGCTTAGCATAAACTCTCTAGCTCCATCCACCTCATTGCAAATGGCTAGATTTCATTCTTTTTGATGGCTGAGTAATATTCTATTGCATATGTATACGTACATATATCTATATCCATAATCTATATCCCTATCTACCTATCTATATCTCTGTATACCACATCTTTTTTATTTTATTTTACTTTATTTTATTTTATTTTTATTATATTTTAAATTTATTTCCAAATTAGTTACCATATAGTGCAACAATGATTTCAGGAGTAGATTCCTTAATGCCCATTACCCATTTAGCTTAACCCCCCCCCCCCAACACCTCCAGTAGCCCTGTTTGTTCTCCATATTTAAAAGTCTCTTATGTTTTTTCCCCTCCTGTTTTTATATTATTTTTGCTTCCCTTCCCTTATGTTCATCTGTTCTGTGTCTTAAAGTCCTCAAATGAGTGAAGTCATATGATATTTGTCTTTCTCTGACTAATTTCACTTAGCATAATACCCTCTAGTTCCAAGCACATAGTTGCAAATGGCAAGATTTCATTCTTTTTGACTGCTGAGTAGTACTCCATTGTATGCATATGTGTGTGTGTATACACACACACCACATCTTTATCCATTCACCCATCAATGGACATTTGGGCTCTTCCCATACTTTGGCTATTGTTGGTAGTGCTGCTATAAACATGGGGGTGCATGTGCCCCTTCGAAACAGCATCCCTGTATCCCTTGGATAAATACCTAGTAGTGCAATTGCTGGGTCATAGGTTAGTTCTATTTTTAATTTTTTGAGTGACCTCCATACTGTTTTCCAGAGTGGCTATACCAGCTTGCATTCCCACCAGTAATGCAAAAGAAATCCTATCTCTGCATCCTCGCCAACATCTGTTGTTGCTTGAGTTGTTAATGTTAGCTGTTCTGACAGGTATGAGGTGGTATGTCATTGTGGTTTTGATTTTTATTTCCCTGATGATGAGTGATGTTGAGCATTTTTTCATGTGTCCGTGGGCCATCTGGATGTCTTCTTTGGAGAAGTATCTATTTATGTCTTTTGCCCATTTCTCCACTGGATTATTTGTTTTTTGGGTGTTGAGTTTGATAAGTTCTTTATAGATTTTGGATACTAACCCTTTATCTGATATGTCGTTTACAAATATCTTCTCCCATTCTGTCAACTGCCTTTTAGTGCTGCTGATTGTTTCCTTTGCTGTGCAGAAGCTTTTTATTTTGATGAGGTCCCAATAATTCATTTTTGCTTGGGTTTCTCTTGCCTCCGGAGACGTGTTGAGTAAGAAGTTGCTGCAGCCAAGGTCAAAGAGGTTTTTGCCTGCGTTCTCCTCAAGGATTTTGATGACTTCCTGTCTTACACTTAGGTCTTTCATCCATTTTGAGTTTATTTTTGTATAGGGTGTAAGAAAGTGGTCCAGGCTCATTCTTCTGCATGTTGCTGTTCAGTTTTCCCACACCACTTGCTGAAAAGACTGTCTTTATTCCATTGGATATTCTTTCCTGCTTTGTCAAAGATTAGTTGGCCATATGTTTGTGGGTCCATTTCTGGGTTCTCTATTCTGTTCCATTGATCTGAGTGTCCGTTTTGTGCGAGTACCACATACTGTCTTGATGATTACAGCTCAGTAGTATAGCTTGAAGTCCAGGATTGTGATGTCTCTTATTTTGGTTTTCTTTTAATTAATTTATTAACTTAATTTTATTTATTATTATTATTTTTTAAATATGAAATTTATTGTCAAATTGGTTTCCATACAACACCCAGGGCTCATGCCCTCCTCAGTACCCATCACCCACTCACTCCTCCATCCCACAACCCATCAACCCTCAGATGTTCTCAGTTTTTAAGAGTCTTTTATGGTTTGGCTCCCTCCCTCTCCTAATTTTTTTTTCCTTCCACTCCCCCATGGTCTTCTGTTAAGTTTCTCAGGATCCACATAAGAGTGAAACCATATGGTATCTGTCTTTCTCTGTATGACTTATTTCACTTAGCATCACACTCTCCAGTTCCATCCATATTGCTACAAAAGGTCATATTTCATTCTTTCTCATTGCCACGTAGTATTCAATTGTGTACATAAACCACAATTTCTTTATCCTTTCATCAGTTGATGGACATTTAGGCTCTTTCCACAATTTGGCTATTGTTGAAAGTGCTGCTATAGACATTGGGGTATAAGGGCCCTATGCATCAGCACTCCTGTATCCCTTGGGTAAATTCCTAACAGTGTTATTGCTGGGTTATAGGGTAGGTCTATTAATTTTTTTAGGAACCTCCACATTGTTTTCCAGAGTGGCTGCACCAGTTTGCATTCCCACCAACAGTGCAAGAGGGTTCCCATTTCTCCACATCCTCTCCAGCATGTATAGTCCCCTGATTTGTACATTTTAGCCACTCTGACTGGTGTGAGGTGGTATCTCAGTGTGGTTTTGATTGGTATTTCCCTGATGAGGAGCAACATTGAGGATCTTTTCATGTGCCTGTTGGCCATCCGGATGTCTTCTTTAGAGAAGTGTCTATTCATGTCTTCTGGCCATTTCTTCACTGGATTATTTTTTTGGGGTGTGGAGTTTGGTGAGTTCTTTATAGATTTTGGATACTAGCCCTTTGTCCCTTATGTCATTTGCAAATATCTTTTC